ACCTCTCATCTACCATGATGAGCAAAGGTGCACTATAGAACGTAGATATCTAAACGTATATGCGACAGTAAGTGCGATTAGCGCACTAGGGACATGTGTAGAGAAAGTCGATCTTGTCGGGAACCTGAGACGAAATAGATAATGGTGGAGTCCTAAATTCGAGAGTCAGAATTTCCAACAATAACCGTTTTTTATTGTCGTGCTAGTCAATTGGCACCCTCTGCACGCCTATGGGAGCTTGAGCACGAGTGAGGCCGGGTTAGATCAGGTTAACTACCATTATGTACATCTACCTCGTTCCGCCCGAATGACTGGACGATGTCAGACACCACCCATGCCTCGAACATGTCAAGTCCGACAGTCCAGAAAATCCAATTTTGACGCAGCGAAACGCATTTTCCTTCTCAGACTCGGCCGCCACGCGCACGAGCCCTTGGTACTTTATCCAACAACCAACTTTTCCTTTGCGTTAAATTCCAGTATCTCTTAATCTCATCATCTTATTCAGGGGTCGTTCTCTTCGTTAGATGCCTCATGAAGACCCCCCACTGAGATACCAAGTTTTTCCTTCCTCGTTTTCTTCTATTGTAGCTTTGGTAAACCTTCCTGTCAGTATCACTATCGAAGAAACTTTGTGGACGGTCTATACCCCTAACTGTGGAGGCCAAACACAGGTCGAAGAGCATAAATCGAGGCACCGATGCCTCGGTTTTATTCCAATTATCTAGTTGATATTCCTGTAAAATGTCATATGTCTCTCTTCGGTGCAGATTCGTCACATGTCGAGTTATCGGCTCCCCTGGCTAAGTTTTGACAAATATAGGGTAGTTGTTTCTACCGTAACTTTACACCACACGACAGTTTCGATGAAACGGTTATCCACATGTATTTTTGATCACAAGTAAGACCTTTATACTATGGAGAGCTATGTAGGCGGTGAGGTGATTGTGGAGAGGGTTGCGAGATGAATTAGGACGGAAAAGTTATCCCAGGAAATATAGGGATGATGAAAATTTTCAGTTGTTTTAATACGAATATCAGATAAAGTAGAGCCTGCCTGCGGCTTGAATTTAGGTTGCAGATGTTTGTATTTGTCGGTTCGGTTTGGTTTGTTCATTAACGTGCTAGGTATAGTGACTACCGTTGCACTCCTCCTGGAGCTTAGGCACGAGTGAAGCCGGGCTGGATCAGGTTAACTACCGTAAAGTACAAGTGCCTCGTCCCACCTAAATGACCGGACCACCTCAGACTTCACCCATGTGTTAAATTATGTCAAGCCCAACCATCCAGAGAACCACCTTTTGGCGCGCCGAAGCGCAAATTCCTCCTCAGCCTCGGCCACCACGTGCCCGAGCCCTTGACACCTTCGCAATCTGTAACTTTTCCCTTCGATTCATTACTAGCTTTGGCTCATCTCATCCAGGGGTCGTTTTCTTCACTGGAGACCTCATCCAGTCGCCCACCAAGGCCTCCTCAGTTTGTATTCCCTTTTGATTCCTTCATGCAGCATCCCTCTATCTTTCAGCCGATCTCGTCATCCTAGAAACTTTGTAGAATGTCCACCCCTCCGGCCTTGCCCCGTCGCTGCCGTACTCTTAACCGTGGAGGTCGGAAACGCTTCTGAGAGCTCAAGACTGAGGCATAGGTGCCTCAGCCTTTGTCGAATGCTCTAGTTGGTGTGCCGGCGAAATGTCGTACGTATTTCGTCAGTGGCGATTCGTCGCAGGTCGAGTTTTTGGTGCCCTTGGCCGAGGTTAGGACGCATTTAAGGCCGGTATTTCGACCGTACCTTCACAGTGACTGGCATTTACGGAGGGTCGGACGTCCTCTTGCTTCTTAGTTGGCGATTTGGCTTTTGGAGGTATGGGATTGCTTCGGTAGGTGGTGAGATCATTGTGGAGAGGGCCGCGAGATGAGTTGGGCTGGGAATGATTTTCCAGAGAAATAGAAAAAATATATTGAAGGTGTTGATTGTTGTAATCGAACATCAGACAAGCTGTAGGCTGCCTGCGGTTCGTATCTGGGGTGTAGATGGTTGATTTCGTTGAGTTGTGCAGTCGTGAAATCTCTGCAAGTCGGATTTTCGACCAAAAATGAGCCAACACCACTCCTCCCGATCGCCAACTCGACGAAAACCCTCAAATTCACCCATTGTCGTGACTGAATCTCAGCTCTGGGAGAATATTTCACTCCCAGGTTCGTAGAGGACACCACAGACAGGTGTTCAGCCTACGTCCTCGTATTTGTCGAGATGTGCGGCCGTAAAATATCTGCATGTCGGATATTTGACCAAAAACTTGACAACACAACTTCTTCCGATTGCCATATCGATGAAAACTCTCAAATTCACCTTTTTTCGTGACTCAATTTTTTGCATCAGACTTTAATTGCGTTTGCAGCTATCTAGCTATGATACAGTTTCAGAGAGAAAGTACATATTAGATGACTCAGCTTGAAATTAGAGCACTCATTCTTCGGATTTCATTTGCTAGTACCACTACGAAGTTATGGTGGCTTTTTCTTCACCCCAAGTCAACCCTCATCCGTGAATGCCCTCCCAGGGGAACGTCTCAAAAACCCAGAGTTATCCAGACAGGCCTCCGTCATCCGTCATCTTCCCTCCGCGCAAAATTTTATCTTAGGCGTCTCCTTCCCAAGTGGAATAAGTGCCCAGGCTACTCAAACTATAACAGAGAACAGCACCTTCCATCACGGGCTTGTTTCTATAATTTCAGTTACACTCTCGCAATCGAATGCTTGGCGCGCATATTGCACTTCAAAATGTAAATCTTCTTGCCAAAATTCGATATCTCATACCCATCGAGATTGTATTTTTCCTTTGCATCATCTTGTAACCTTGTCCCGATTTCTCTCATGCCCATTCCAATGAACTATCTCCCAGATTTGTACGCCAGGCTTTATTTCCTCTGTGGGATGTTTATATCGGCGTGGGCTATATTGGTGGCCAGCTGAGGCCAGAGAATAGTCGATGAGAGGTGTGGTCATTGAAATGAGGATGTGTTAAGCCGTACTTGTGAGCTTGATAAGGTTTCGGTGTGGATCGATCTCGTTGGGAGAGAGAAATAGATTTGGTGGAGAACGTCGAATCATTGTCTCATGGGCCAACCTGTTCGGTATTGCGAAATTTGACTGGACTTGGCTCTGGGAGATGATGCCTTTCCCAAGCTTGTGGAGGTCGGTACTGACTAGTGTCTAGCCTTTGTCTCCCATCTATTGTTGGACGAGGCGCGATGTAACTAATTATTCTGATTCGTGAACTTCATATTTTGTGCAGTCCACCCGATTGATAATTATTGTTCGGGTTGAGTGCAAGATCACTGGGTTGGTATTCCATTATTTTCAACATATCCGTATCCTCTGATTAAGTAAGTTATGCATTACCAAACCAGTGTTGAGAATTATCGCATAATGTATTTTATTCTGTGCTTCTTTTTACATACCCGCACTCTCTCATGACAGCTGTCGATAGACAGATTTATCATGGATACAATCCCGCAATCAACGCTTGATGATTCTCAAAAATGCACACAACTCTCTAGCAATAGCAGTGAGAGATTCTATGACCACTTTCAAACCGAATATGCTCAGATCCAAGGACAAATAAAACGATTTGAAAATGAAGATAAGGAGGACGATGAAGTGCAAAGTGCTATTGACAGTGTTTTGGTTAGGATAACGAACCTATCCAACCAAGTTTCCGACAACAGTCAGCGGATTAGTGCATATCACATGCGCACTTTTATCCAAGTGAGTCTCCAAGGAAATTGAAAAACTCCTACCACTGACTTTCGCTGGCCATTAAATCTTTAGAGGAAAATTTGGCACAAATGCGGGTCAGACTTGCCCCAAAACCAAAATTCCGATTCAAGAGCAAAAGGATCGACAGTAAAACTGTTCAAAACAATGATTTATGGCCCAGGATAATGTCAAAGGACCCGTCTAATATTGAAGATGGAGCTGCTATATTTTCTTTGCCAAAGTCTAGCCCCCAAGAAATGATGACTGTTGCCGATATGTCTACAAATCGGACTAGTTCCACCGAAAATCCATCTTTGTCCTCAGGTAATCCAATAGAAGGATTGCTTCCAGAGAACCAAGATGTTCACATTCATAAACTGCAACAAGCGACATATATTGATATCTCTAATTGTGAAGACAAGCATGTAACCCTTCCTATGTCCCCATATACTTTAATAAAATCTGCTGCTATAACCTGCATTAGTAGATGCGTTGTGGACATGTCAAATCCGGTGGCTAGCAATATCGTCTTAGCTAGCCTAACTATTAAAAATATCAAAGACTCAATTGTCATAGTTGGTCAAGTTGATGGGGCGGCCCATGTTACTAAAGTAGAAGATAGTATTCTACTATTGGCATCGCGACAAGTTCGTGTGCATGAATGCCATAACGTAAAGATCTATCTTCATTCTACGAGTCGCCCTATTATTGAAGACTGTCGTTCAATCCAATTTGCACCAATCCCACAATGTTTGGTGAGTCTTTCTGCTTACTATTAAGTCTCTGCAACTAATTCAATTTTTAAAGACGACATCGACCCTAGAAGAGGTCACTAATCAATGGGACCAAGTTGATGACTTTAAATGGCTCAGGTCAACCCCCAGTCCTAACTGGAGTGTTTTGCCAGAAGAGGAGAGATTATCCGATGTCAGTTGGACAGAATTACTCCAGATTGAAATTGGACAAGGGCTGCTAGATAAAATAAAGCTGTTAGGTGTTGGATGTCAATAAGCAATGAAAATTAGCTCTAGGAGTCAGTGGCTAATGCTTAGGATGAGACCTTCTTTCAGACATACGAGGTTCTACTTGTACTAATCTGAGGCTCTTGAATAGCTTATTCTAATAAATTAAATATATTTCCTTCATCCCCGCACAAGTTTCACACCAAGAAAACTAAGTCCTTTTTGGGAAAGTCTATAATTTTGAGAATTCAAAGGCATTTCACGATAGAGCTTAGGCGTTTAGTGGACGACGTCTTCTATTTGCTCTAACATTTCTTTAGTTTCACTTGTTGCTTTACCCAGGACGCGTAGTTTCTTGATAACCTCTCGCTGCTGTGATATTTTTTCCTCCAGTTCCACAATTTCCTCTTCTTGCTCGCTAATCGTTCTATCTATGTCTGGTAATTGCTTAATCTGAAGATGAGCTTTTTGTAATTGTTGCTTCAGCTCGTCTGTAGCTGGTGGTATATCTTTGGCAGAAAGTTGTCCCGTACTATTACAGAGCTGAGATGGGCTAGAGGTGTAAGAAGGTGCAGCTAATCCGCTTTGGTTTGTGGATGATGGGTTCGAGAGCCGAGAAAGCAGTGATGAGAGAATTGGGATGGTGTCCATGTGATGCGGTGTTAGGTCATCTGGTAGTTTCATGGGGGGATGCATCTCGAACGCTGAGTGTGGATGGTTCTCTTTGTTGAATACTGGAACAAGAAGAGTGTCCTGAGTTGGGTTTTAAACTCGGGCTTTTTTAATATCTCTCCGCTGTCATTGGCCGAGGTTTCCACACACCTGGAGTTACAGACTCACCACACCTACTTGACCCATGCAAGCTTGGCAGTTCCTTTGATCTACGAACATTATTCAATATCTGGCCTTTAATTTCTATATTACCAAAACTTGTGATATTTAATTTAACTATCTACACAGAGTCATTCAATCACCAAATTTGCCATTGATCGCAGTGAAATACATCCGAAAAATTACACTTAACTCACAAGATTACTCGCCGACATGGTTCAGGTAGAGAATAAGGCAGTGCTGAGTATGTTTTCTTGGTCCTAATAGCATAATCCTTTAATTTCACACCATTCCCTTGGGCACGCTAGAAATATTTTGCTCTTTTCCATGTTGTCATTCACGTTGCATCTACAAGTCGAATTTCACTCACACGCTCGCTCGCCGTGGCCATGTCGGAGCAATCCAATGTTGCCAGAAAACCAGACTACACTCTTGCCATGCTCTATATACTCATGTATTTGGAACTTTGGTGGCTAATTGTAATGATCTGGCATAGTTGTGATTGACGGATGGGGAATTCCAAGTGAATCTAGCCCAAAGAATGGCGACGCAATTGCAGCTGCCGAAACACCCATGATGGACGCTTTTCAGCAGAATTCCAGTTGTTTCACCGAACTTGACGCCTCTTCCCTTGCGGTTGGTCTTCCCGAAGGCCTTATGGGAAACTCAGAGGTCGGACATTTGAATATTGGAGCTGGTCGCGTGGTCTGGCAAGATGTCGTTCGAATTGATCAAACAATTAAGAAGGGACAATTGGATCAGAATGAAGTGGTAATGAAATGTTTCAATGATGCTAAAAACGGAACTGGGCGTCTTCATCTAGCTGGGCTGGTCTCAGATGGCGGAGTAGTACGTGATCACATTCTGATCACGACTCTAAGCTTACATTCAAATAGCATGCCAAACAAGATCACCTGTATGCTTTGCTCAAAGTAGCAAAAAATGTTGGAATTCCTCACGTCTACATTCACTTTATTGCAGACGGTCGAGACACCGACCCGAAGTCTGGAGCCAAGTACATGCAGGCTCTGCTATCGAAAATAAAAGAAATTGGAATTGGTAAGGTTGCTTCGGTAGTGGGAAGGTTCTACGCAATGGATCGAGACAAGCGATGGGAGAGAGTTAAGGTTGGTTTGGACGCCATGTGCGTTGGAGATGGAGAGGAAAGCCAGGATCCTGTTCAAACAATTGAAGAGAGATATCAGAAAGGGGAGACTGACGAGTTCTTGAAGCCGATCATCCTTGGCGGTAAAGAGGCCCGCATAAAAGGTAGGGTTTCCGAATCGAATAATTATATAAAATACTTACAGGCGCCAGATGACGACCAAGTATTTTTCTTTAACTACAGATCTGACCGAGCTCGTGAAATTGCTCAGCTACTAGGAGGCTACGACCGCACACCATTGGAGGAATTTCCATATCCGAAGAACATCACTCTTACTACCATGACTCAATATAAACTGGATTATCCTTATCCTATTGCGTTTAAGCCACAGCACATGGGTAATGTTTTGGCTGAGACACTTGGTAGTCAAGGTGTAAACCAGGTCCATGTGGCCGAGACCGAAAAATACGCTCATGTCACATTCTTCTTCAACGGAGGTGTCGAAAAAATATTTCCTCTGGAGACTCGAGACGAATCACAAGATCTTGTTCCTTCCAACAAAAACGTGACAACTTACGATCAGGCACCAGAAATGAGCGCCGCTGGTGTAGCAAAGCAGACAAACAAGCGAATTTGCGACGGGAAATTTGAATTTATCATGAACAACTTTGCTCCACCTGATATGGTTGGTCACACTGGTGTATATGAAGCTGCCATTATCGGCGTCGCAGCTACTGATAAAGCTATTGCTGAAATTTACGAAACCTGCAAACAAGAAAACTATATACTCTTTATCACTTCTGATCACGGGTAAGGTTTTGTTTCCCCCGTTAAAAATTTTACGGCAGCTCATATTCGATAGAAATGCCGAAGAGATGAAGTTTTCGGACGGAAAGCCTAAGACATCACACACCACAAACAAGGTTCCCTTTATAATGGCTAATGCTCCCCAAGGTTGGAGCCTCCAAAAAGCTGACGGTGTCCTGGGAGATGTAGCACCAACAATCCTTGAAGCCATGGGCCTGCAAAAACCGGATGAGATGACTGGGCGTAGTCTGCTTGTGAAAAGCTAGTCTATTATCACGGTTAAAGGGTGAAGCGCGCACTAAAATTACTTCTCTCAAATTAGATAAGTATGGATGATGCACCTTCACGGTAGTATGCTTGTGATGAATTATATCTCTATATGACTAATTCTGGGGTGAGGCGTGGTTAGCGGAATATTTGGCGGCGTGGTTGGGGGCGGTAGTGGTTGTAGAGTTGTAGGTACCGGCGGGTGGGCAATAGAGACGAATCTGTGTAACATGTATGCGCCATATAAGACAATTTCAACATTAGTATCAGTTTCTGTTCTAATGATTCGCAACATGCGTACAGTTTTTATCCTGTGGCCACGGGCTCAAGTTTACAGTGGAGTATAATGGGGCGCATATTAGCTTCGGGGGTGGGTCCCTGTTGTCGCTTTTATCGACAGGGTATAAAATTCTTGTCCTGTATTTCAAGGCCTGGGCTTAGGACATGACCGGATTTCTTGCCACCGTCAGTTCCATGCAAATCCAAACCATTCTCTAGTTCTTTTCCATCACATTTCTATCCGCTGACCGCTAAAAGATTAAACAGCTCTTTTCATCTGTTGCTTGGCCGGCAAAGTCGAATTCTTCACCTTCTAGTGGTGCCGGTGTAATCGCTCAGTATGCTCTGCATATCTGAGATGGCCAAGGAAAATCGAAACCGAATCGAAATCGAAAGCAAACACATAAGTATCTCCATTCAAAAACTTCTCAATCATACAGCACTCACCATTATCATCTGAGTCCTCAATCTCTTTCTAACCACGCATCATCTCGCCTCAACGACCAATTAAGGAGTTGCTCCAATTGCATACATGAGCTTGCCCCATTAATAACCAGCCATCTCTCACTACATGTTTACGACGCTATTTATACCCGCAAGGAGGAAATCAGGTCATAATATACAAAGTCGGGATCTTGGTTTATGGGGGACTGCTGCTCTAATGTGGTTATACATCTTGAGGAAGGACAGGCAGCTGATATGTAGAGCGAGAGGGAGATGAAGTATCTGAAGACCATGCTGGGACTGTTATTTTTGAGGGGATTTCAACTTTGGAGTTTTTGTGGGCGCCAAGACAAAGGTTTCGGTAAATTAGCCAAGAGGGCTTCTCTTGTCGATGAGTCAACAGCACTCCCCATTGCCCTGGACGGCACAAAAGAAGTTGAGCTAAGCTACTATACAGCAATCACGCTCTATCAAGACTTTTCTGACATTTCACCACGACCTTCGGGAAGGAGTTGGAAGGAGGCTAGAAAGGCAGAGTGTGAATTCTCTCGAGGTGCCCACAAGTCTGCAGCACCCAGCTGGCCGGCCTCTTGAACGCTTTGGAAGGATCACTATGTCTTCGGATTTAGTCCTAATGTCTGTAAAAGGAAAGCCCCGCACCCAGTGTTTTTTGCGAATTTTCCTGGCTGCCATACAACCGCAAATTGCCACGGTTTCGTTGGCTGGAGAGGGGAGATAATGAAGGGCAAAGGGCTCCTCTAAGTGTATGATCGAATGAGGACTTATGGGGGATGGTACTGTTTGAGGGGAGGCATAGTAGGGGATAAACTACTGGTATAGGTATCCTTGGCCTGTAAACGGAGAGGACCTGCATGTCGTACATAGACATAGACTCATACAGGACAACAAAATGAAAAGAAACCGTGAAATCGTCGTGATGGTTTTGTGAAGAATATGCTCACGTGATAATAAGTACAATAACATTTAATCACTTAGTCCACTTAATAAAATCTTTACGCTTCCTCGCACATAAAACGTGATATCGGAGGGCAAGACTGAACACCTGTACGCGGTGTCCTCTACGAACCTGGGAGTGAAATATTCCCCCAGAGCCAAGTTCAGTCAAAGTTCGCAATATCAAAGAAGTTGGCCCACAAGGCAAAAATTCAAATTACTCCACCACGTTCTCTGGCCTTAGTTGACCGCCAAATACACGCCCACGCCGATATGTATACCCGACGGAGGAAGCAAAGCGTGGCGCACAAATCTGGGAGATAGTTCTTTGGGATGGACGTGAGAGGGGTCAGGACAAGTTTACAAGATGATGCAGAAGAGGGATACGTTTTCGACGGGCGTGAAATTTCGAATTTTGGCATGGAAATTTACGAATTGAGCTTTGTGCGCGCCAAGACTTCGCTTGCGAGAGTGCAGCTGACACTATAAACACAAGCAAACGATGGAAGGTGTTGTGGTCCGCCTCCTGGCGGTGTTCTCCGGTATAGTCTGAGTAGCCTGGGCACCTACTCCACTTGGGAAGGAGACGCCTTAGACCACATTTCGCGCAGAGACAATTCAGTAGATGATGGAGGCATGTCTGAATAACTCAGGGTTTTTGGACGTCTTCCTGATTGGTATTTACGGATGAGGGTTGACTTGGGGTGAAGAAAAAGCCACCATAACTTCGCAGTGGTACTTGCAAATGAAATCTGAGGCATGAGTGCTCCTCTTGTAAATTGTGTCATTTTTTCTGTACTTTTCTTTGATATTGTGTCATAGCTAGATAGCTGCATACGCAATTAAAATCTGATGCAAAAAAAAAAACGTGATATCGTTCTATCTCATATCTTATTTAAACCAACTACCTTATGTCCCTTGCCATCTACTAAGCTCTGCCTGCTGCTGGAGGCTTCTTTCCATACGCATGAATAACGTGAGCTCCATGGAGTTGGCATTTGGCTCATGCTCCTTGAAGCTAAGCAGGCGCTTGAGGCCATTTAGTGCTTGATTAATCGCAGCAGGCCGCTCAGGTGCCTCATCACACTCATCCTCATCGTGCTCCTCCTGCTGTGGCATAGTATGTGCAGCAATGATATCCACAAGCGTGACCTCCTCCTCCTACACCTCAATATTCTTGTCATCGTGTCTGTAATCTTAGTCACCATTTAAGAATATATTTACATGAGGTGGATCCAGATTTCTACCAGGCCTAATGAATCGTGTGGGGAAGTGCATGATATATTTAGAGTTAGACTAGGAAACAGTATTCTATGCCTTGATTATTAGGTATTAGACTAAATCTAATCAGGCCTCCACTTGTGATAGTGGTTACATCATGTGACAGTCATTCGATATAACGATAAAAGGGCGACGGCGACATCGATGTATCGAATGTCGTTGATTTGTTATGTTCACTATTGAGAACTTAATGCGTGCGCGAAGTAGACATCGTTGTAAGGAGTCCACACTGCAGTATTTTTCAATTGAAGATACCCTGTCTCCTTTGAGAATAAAGTCGCAACTAGTCCTGTGTTTCACAATGTGTTTCAGTAGTTTCGAGCCGCGAGAGACCGGCCACCCACATATTTTCAAAGTTAAGCTCACCTCACGTCTCACATCTTCTAACCCGCCAAAAAGCCTATTTATTTTGTCTTGGTGGTATTTTACCTCTGTCTGGCGCGGGCCGCAGCCCACATGCGCTAAATATACTTAATAGCAAAGAAGGTTAAAGTTAACTGCTCTAGTAGCTGAGGCATCCAACCACCCAAACCGAGAAGTGCCCGAGGGACAAGTTGTCGGAGGCAGCATTGGCTGAATACCTGCAAGCCAGGAAAAGGCAAATCCCCAGAACAAACTGAAGTTGCAAAAGATTAGACAAACAATTAGGTTGTTGCTACTCTGAGCCTTATTAGAAAAGGGGACACAGTCCTGTACACCTTGCGGATGATTTCTTATGCGTAATGATGAGATTTTCTTTCAGGATGAATATGTAGTCGCGGGAGGAGATCTGCGACATATTTCCGTGAAGAACCTCGATCCCACAGGCCACTCGGCAGTTTTAGCAGCCCCTTTGTTGTTGTTGTTGTTGTTTTATTCAAGTCCTAAGCTAAAGCTCCAAATCCACTATGAGTACAGGAGCGATGTTCACGGCCAGAACTACATCTAAGTCATACCCAGCTCAATTCCACTGCATGAAATACTACAAAACTAGCAGTTGGTTAAAAATATTTGCCGCAGCAACTCTTTCCCCCAAAATTGACAAAAGAAAGTATAAATTGCAAATAAGTTAGAATGGGAAGCAATACTCCTCGCCTCGATTCCCATTTTGTCAGGTTTAGTTTCCTGACGAGTTATATTCGATCTCCACTGAGAGTAGGAGATGGATGCACAGGAGAATACCCAAAACAATTGGTATCCTGCGCAAATTGTTTGAAGCAATCGAAGCACTTAGGCCCGAGTAGCTTGTGTAAGAAGGCATTGTGTGACAACGGCCCTCTGATTCGACGCGTGATATTTGCGTTGAGTCGACAATGTATGAAGTGGGTAGGGCTGATTTCCTCCCCACAGATGCACTCTGTAATAGCGTGCGGATTATTGAAGCGACGATGGTACGCCGTGAAATTGCCGTGGCCCGTACGGGCTGCAATGAGATGTCGTAACTGTAGCCTGGAAAGCCCCAGTTCTGGTGGTTTACGACGGCGCATGAGCAGATCTAGCTCACGATACCGTGACAGGCAAGTTTCATTCCACCAGCTTTCGAGCAAAGTCTGTCGCTGTCGATGCAATTTTTGGTGTAAAAATGCTGTCGTGGTGGTTGCTGGTTCAGTTTCCACGCTGGGAAGCGTTCGTAGGGCGGATTTGGCCGCTGCGTCTGCTTCCTCATTTCCATGTATTCCCGAGTGTCCTGATATCCACTTTATTCTTACCTGAGCTAGCCCAGATAATTCGCGAAACTTTCGTACTTCCTCGTGGCTGGTCGAGGATCTGCCCGTGCTCAGTGCATTTATCGCATGTCGACTATCCATCAACACATTAATGCACTGCGTCGTTCCCTTCGCCAGGTACTCCTTTCCTCTTAGGTGACCCAACGCTGCTTTAAGAGCTTCCTGTGCCCCCATAATCTCTGCATCTAAAGCCTCTCCACCGTGCTTTATGCCACTTCCTTTTTGAAAAGTTTTCCCATCCAGCTTTAGGACAAACCCCCAAGCTGAGCGTCCCTTTCCCTCCGATGCTCCGTCCGAGTAAGCACAGATCTCTGACTTTGGCACATTAGTGATCCAAAGTTTACAGGCTTCTGCATGGTCTTTTCTCGAACCAACCTTCGAACCCGGCCGCGATTGATAAAAAGGTGGGCAAGAGGTTCCGCGGCCTCTGCCTCTGGTAGCTGTCTATAAGCACGCTGAGCCCGTGACATTTGAATTTCAGGACGCGTAGATTCTCGATTGTGCTTTTTATATTTTCGAGTACCGACATTTGGGCAAACTGCAGCACGGATCCTGAGCGGATGGCGGTCGTCAAGTGTTTGCATTCTGGCAGAGAGGCGAAGTCGGTTTCCTTCGAGAATTATTTTCCCAGTTGGTATTCCTCCTTCCCTATGTAGTACAGCGTTGGGTGTTGTTCTTATTACCGGTAGGGCTGACCTAAGACCCATTAAGACAGCCTTATCAATCATACTACATAGGCCAGCAGTGGGCGGTGTCACCATCCCTCGTACTGTTGGGCGTCTAAGGCCAGGCCACCAGACATCAGCTCCGTACGTTGCGATTGGGACAATACATGTGTCGATCGCTTTAACCAACGCCCTAGGAGGGGCTCCTCGGTAGGCTATATTGAAGCGACGCATGTGCTGTGCAATTTTCAACGCTTTGCCACACCAAGTTGTGACGTGGTGTTTGAAGTTTAGTCGAGGATCGAGGTACACACCAAGCCAGCGGACATTTTGCGACGGCTCTATGAGGGTTCCGTTGACATAAATTCCAATCGATGTTTCGCGGTATCGTCCGGGGAGTTGTACGACTTCGGACTTGTCTGTATCGAAAGCGACGGCATTATTTCGAGCCCAGTCTAGTAGGTTATTGACCTCGTCCTGTGCTGCGGCTGCAGACTCTGCAATCGTCCGGCCAAATCCAAGGATACCTACATCGTCGGCGTAGCTAAACCTCAGACCCGGGGTTCCACTTCGCATGGGCTCCGCCATATATAGGAGGAAGAGAAGTGGCGAGATCGGTGAGCCCTGTGGAACTCCGCACACTAGCTCTCTCTTGGTAGTGACTCCCCTAGAGTATCGCACTTGAACCATCCGATTGGCGAGGAAGGAGCTAGTCCATTTGAGAATAGACTCCGGCCATCCCTGCTCCTGCATCCTCCTTACTAATCGATTATGGAGTACCGCGTCGAATGCTCCTTGAACGTCCAACGTTACAAAAGTAGCTGCCCATCCTTGTGAATTTGCCTCTTCGATGTCGTGGACCACACATGAGACCAGATCCGTTGCTGAGCGCTTCGGCAGTGCACCAAACTGTTGCTGGCCGACTACATCATGGATAACTGCAAGGTGTGCCATCCGCTTAGCTAAGAGCCTTTCTAACCCTTTTCCCAAGCATGAGAGAAGAGCGATTGGTCTCCAACCCTCGATTGTCGTTGGGTCTCTATCGTTCTTTTGGAGGAGGACCACCTCGGCTAATTTGAAACACTTTGGATGGGTGCCGAGCAGAATGCAAGCTCGGAACAGTTGGGAAATCCAAGGCCCAATTGTATTCCAACACGCCTCCAGCAGGTTTACGGAGACTCCGTCTGCTCCTGGGGCCGTATTTCCGCAACCAATGGTACAGGCTCGGACCTCTTCATCTGTTACGTCCTCTTCCCATGGTATCCGACTGCTTCTCGCAACTGTACATGGTGACAATTCGTCTGACGCCTGAAATCGTGCCAGGAGGGAGTCGCGAAGGATCGTGGCCCGTTTTAATGGATCTGTTATCAACGTCCCATTATGGTTCAGTGGCGGAGGGATACTAGCCTGTCTAGGGTTATCCATTCTCATTAGCTTGAATACATCAGTCGGTGTAGTAATTGATTCGACCTGTTGGGTTTTGAACTCCTTTTCCGAGGTCTTCACAACTGATCGGAGCTTTTTCGCGCTGAGTGCCCGTTGACTGGGAGTTATCGCGCTTTTGTACTCGGCAAAGGCTGCCTTGCAATCTGGGGTCCGCCACGGAGCAGATCTACCGCAGCGGGCTTTTGTTCGTGTTCCTACTGCATTAATTGTATTAGTGAGATGGAAACAAATTTCCTCGGCATACTCTTCAACCCTCTCAATTGTATCAAGAACTGGTGGTGGTCGGACCCACTGTGCAATTACCTTGGCGTATCTGGGTAGCTGTCACAGTCTAAGCATAGGCACTTGGGCAACCTTATGGTCAGAGGTAGTTCTAATTTCAATCTATGGTGAACTACAGATTGAAGAGGATAATAACAGTTACTTTATACATGATTATTATCCCAGCCAATGACACAGATTTCTATCCGTATATCCGTATTCCCTACTCATATCCCCTACTCGTATCACATTCTCGTGCCCCATCTCCGGACGTGTTACAGTATTATTATTGCCACTTATAAGGCCCTCTTTGTTTCATGCTAAGCCTGCGTTAGACAGCGCAGGCTACAGGCAATTACCGGCTTACAAGCCGTCACAGTAGCTTATCCTTTCTTACTCGGAGTTTTGCCTTTTCGGGTCTCATCACTGAGTTGCGAACTGGAATTTGTCCTCGGATAGGGAAGTGATCGCTGGTGACACATCCACCACGATCTACCCAAGCACGGGCGCCGTCGACATTACTCCAAACTAGATCTAGCGTGTTTCCAGCTCGGTGAGTGGCCTCCCCAATAATATGACAGATCAAATGGTGTTTGTCTGCCCATTTCTCGATCATTTCTCCTTGTCCATGAGGACGTTCCACGCCAGGTTGCCAAGCCCAATATACCGAGTTAAAGTCCCCAGCAGCGACGGAGTTTGGCGGTGGAATCCAGTTGATGAGAGGCTGTATAACTGTTGAGTCATTGGGTGCCTTGTAGACGTTGAGAAAAGTAATGCCGTTCACTTCTACCCAGCAATAGTCTCCTGTAGACACAACATAAGGAATAATCTGTGTTGCCGATATCTTTTTATCGTCTATCCAGGTATAGGTCGCAGCCCTCGGCCTAATATTTTCGCCGCCGTTAGGCAGATGATAGGTATATCCTGGGTGATCCTTTGTTGTGCTCTTTTGTTTATTTCACAGAGGTTCTTGAACAAGAACCACGTCGATACCCAGCTCAAATGCTCGGGCAAGCGCAATGTTTTGCGTTGAGCCCCCTCTACCTACGTTTATTGACATAAAGCTTAGAGTAGGAGAGAGGCTTGAAGAGACCCGTGGGGTGCCCTTCACAAAGATTTTTGCTGATTTAATGCCTCATCGACCTCGGCTACAGTCGCTGTAGCGTCGGACATGAGAACTTCAAAACAGTTGCTCGATTGGAAACCTGGCTGGTTAGTATTTGACGCTTATGCAGCTGCTCTCATCGCTGCCTCTGCACGTTTGACAGCTGCTTTGGCCCGAGTGACTGCTGCGAATTCGCGTTGGCTAGCCCGCCTTATAGTCTGAAGGTTTTCCCTGGAGGCCATTCCAGACTTTGTTGGACGAGCTAGACAGTCCCGACTATCTGACCTGTGTGGACCTCCGCAGTTGCGGCACTTGGTGTGTGCCTTGCACTCCGCGATGGAATGCATAGTTGAAGTACAATTCCAGCAGGCTGGGGCGCGCGAGCATCCTCTGGTGCCATGGAATTGTAGGCATCTTTTGCACTGGTTAATGCTTTGACGAGGCTGGTGGCGGACTGCAATCCCAGAGTCGTCGAAAAGTCGGAAACCTGGCCGAGGGATCGATGCTTTTTCGAAAAGGGCTACCCATGACTGGTATGGGGCTCCAAGTCGGCTTTTCCCATGTGGGCGAACTTTTACCGGAACAGCCTTGGTGACCCTGACTATCTCGTCTGTTACCATCTCTTCAGTGACGATTACTCTACCCATTATTGTATTAATGGCAACTGGGACTGTTGCGATTCTAAGTGAGCCCAGGTCCGATGCTTCTTCCAGTATGGCATCTTGCTGGATGAGGGACCCAGCTAGGCTTAACATGATGGCGCGTGCCTCTTGGTTTTCGGCTCTAATTGCGAAGCCAGTTGGAACACGGTATACGTGCTCAATATTGGCTTGAGGAATTTCAAGCACTTTTGCCACAGCCTCTCTGACACCAAACGGTGATAGCTTTCTCCAAGGGTGTTCATTTCCAAGGCGAAGAAACAAGCGTTCATCTTTGGTGCCTGATTGCGTTGGGACGGTCGGGTTTTTTGAAGGTCGCGTCAAGCTTGCCCAAGAGAGTTGGATTTGGCGGACAGTGCTATAACGTCACGTGGAAAAATGTCCCAAACTACCATTGGACGCAAAGCCTGAGCTCCGGGCAGATGAGTGGAAACTAATACCAGGGACTTCGCCCACCAAAGGAGCTACCCTGTGGGTGCCTTGTCCCGTGACTTCGGGTCGCACACGTTCTTGGACATAACACTGGTAGCTAGAGATAGAGAGTAGACAAGGAACAATATACGTCATTAAATTTCTTACGCCTAGTAACAAGTATAAGCAGTAGTTGGGCTGGATGGTGCAGTGGTACACCATCCGGGCCGTTCTCCCAAGTAGATACTGGGTAGCATGAACACCCACCCCATTTGTTACAGAAGAAAGCTGGTTCGAATCCAGTCAGACTCACACACCACTATCACTCGCGGTGATATTGAACTTGTGGGACGATGAAAGCACACTCGGATAGTCACAGGTTTTTCACGCTCTTCCCTGTGGTGTTTATGCACGGATGAGGTTATACGCCGTAAGGATTAACCTCTAGTGGTATCTGCAAACGAAATCTGAGTGTGAGTGTTCTAAGCTTCAAATTGAGTCATCCTCCTCAATGTACATTTCTTTCGATTAAAACCTGCATGGGCCTCAAGGCGCCAAATCATGACAAAGAATTATTAATTTAATAGTTCCATAATTGCGTGAAGATGAGCCTAGCAGCCAGGCGATACTGTAAACACTGTCATGCTTGGATAGTGTGGTGGTACATCGTCTTGGCCGATCTGCCAAGTAGAGTCTGGATAGCTTGGACACATATCCCACTCAAGACAGTAGATTGCTGGTTCAAATCCGGCAAAACACAACCACTTATCTTGCGGCGCTGGTATACATGGATGACGAAGGCATGCTTGGATAATCAAAGGTTTCGAAATCCCTTTTGTGGGTACTAACGGAGGATGGTCGACTGTTTGTGTAAGCAAGCATACCTCATAGTGGTATTTGCAAATGAAATCCAGAGTATGAGTGTCTCTAATTTCAAAAGAGTCAACCATCATGTATACATTGCACCGGTGATGTGTGTTAGTTAGATAGCTGCATATATATTTAATGATTTTAAAAAAACGAGCCTAGCAGTTGTATGTTGATACGTGTTGTAAAGTTAAGAGCTTACGGAGGATAATTGGCAGAAGATTTACGGATGATTGTCGACGAATCAATGTGAACTTCTGATATTTTTGGTATTCAGAACTATGAGAATCTTAGGAGGTAGAAAGCACTACTTATATACACATCTGAGGTAGCTAGACTCTCGCCTTATTTTCCCTAAACAGTATCACGGAATATTCGAGTATCCTCCATCTGGTAGTATTATCCAGAAACACTTTCTATACAGTGCTCCATTACTCTTCTACTCGTCATGGAGCCACCTGGAAAGTTCTTCCTTCACCCTCAGTAATCATTACCCTTGTGCATTGTAATCCTAGCCATCACCAGCACAACAGTACGAGCTAGGCTGCAGCATTCTTAGGGTATGCTGAGACTATAGTAGTAATACACGCTTTTTTGACCCTATACTTTATCGAATTTATTTCCGGTCACACTGTTATGTCCATGTAAAGGAAGCATAATCCAACAATATCGTCTAATGGATGATGTGAAGTATGATATTAATTGGATAGATTGATTATTAAACTCGGTAAGTGAAGATATTGTGAAGTACATGAACAGCGTCTGTGCACCAGCCTGTATTTTCCACCCTTTCCTAATCCAGCAGCCCATCCTCCGTTCCCCTGTCTCCTAACAACTAAACCGAGCCAGCACAAACAGAACATGCGTAATATTTACACTGGCACTGCTGGAATATGAAGCATTCTACAGTGCCAGCTTTTTATATCATGTGTCATGGGTTATAGCTAAATAAAAATGATAGGATTTATAAGTATGGAACTAAGAAAGGATTATTCACGATAGCAAAGTTTCAAATCTTCCAGTACTCATAGCATCCCTTCGTTTTCCGCTTTAAAATACCTCGATTTATTCAATAGGGTTTTGATTGAACTGAAATGGTGATATCTAATTTCGATACAAAAAGTACCTAGGTCATTTAGTTACCATCGTCTAATAACCCTGATTGTCTTACCATTCAGTTATCCATAATAATTAGAGAAGAGAGCCCTTTAGCTGCGTCAGCATTGTTAGGTGCTTTAGAAGAGTATCTATAGGAAAATTCTAGCTTAGGTAGAGAGAGCCGTCCCGACGAGTTAGAAATGGGGAATTTTAGTGTAGTCAAATGAGGAATGTTCAGGGATATTTATTATGTAACTGTTGCCATTTTCATTATTTATCTTCAAGAACAACTCTACTCTAAGCTATGATTCTAGTTGACCTTGAGGCAACGCCAAAGTCGAGCAGATAGTATGCTACCAGGGCTATCTAAGTTATCTTTTCAGTCCACTCGGCGAACATCTCGTAATCCTAAAGTAAATGAGAGTGGCTTGGCCATGAATAATTTGATGGGAGCTCTGGAGTATATCTGCACACCATCGCCCCAGAGTTAAGTTTAATCACTCCTCGTCGATTCAAAATGACCTCACACCGAACCAATCTCCGACATGAGGTTACTATTATCTGGTCTCCCTAACACCGATAAGCTATCAGAAGCAGCAGGCATCTGTCGCGTGACATCCTCTTTGTTACTGTAACCAGGCCGTGTATGATCAACGCCCCAGCCGGCCTTGCGAGTGAATGTGGTGCACTGAAGTTCTAGCGCCGTGCGTGTAAACGGGCCAGTGCGACTCAGGGGTATATGATTTGTTTGATAATGCCAAATCGAAGAGTAAACCATTCGGTAGGCCGAGAATGCCATAAGGGTCCCCACAATGGCCCCTGCCACGCAATCGTACCCTACTCGCATTAGCTTATATCCCGCGCTTCTTGGCTTAGGAATACAATTATGATACTCATCAACCGTAAGAGATGCAGAAATAAGAGTCGCACCCAAAATTGGGGCCCAAACCGCCACCATTTTCCACATTTCAGGGTGATAATCGGACCATACTTTGAGCTTGGAATTAAGGTACAAAGCCAAAAATACGAATCCGGCAAAGGCTGCAGTGGAATGACCGGATGGAAAAGACTCCAGAGCATCATTTATTTCGCGATCATTCCCAGTACAAATCCTTCGATCATACATAATCATCTGGTATCCAGAGCCGACAGCATTGGGTGAAATATTCGGTTGACACACAGTCAAAAAATGCGGACGCAGTCCGCCGATTAGCCACTTCAAAAATACCTGGAAGACAGCTGCAGTTATGAGAGAGTACATGAGCCCCATTATAGCGTTGTTAGCGTCCCAGAATGAGCGAATACGTATTTGCATGATAAGTATTAGGGCGATGGGAATTAGAGAGGCTAGCATAGCTGCGAGCCAAATCGGGATTATATTCTTGCGGTGAGGATATGCAAATTGAGGATAGATAATTTCTCCATCTTGGAAATAGACAGGGAAAGATCGGCTTGGAGCTGGTCGGGCAAAGTAAACCTATAAGATTATGTCAGGCTAAGTTTTGAGAGAACTTCGCAAATTGGGTATTCGGTCTATATTACTTACTCCTAAACCAAGCACGCCCAGGCAGAGCATGGTTAATAGATCGAGCCAGCTAAGTTTGATCCAGTGAAAAAAAGTGGGCTTGATATTCATGTTGATGATGAGGGGAAGACTATCTCTCTTATCAGTATAGGTCGGGGTATGCTGGGCTTCCGACATCTCAGGGTCCACCTCTTGGGGTGCACGATGAGAAAAAAGACCCATGCTTTCAGATGCTCATCAAAATTAATTTCGAATGCCAGTATTAAAGAGATTAACAGTGTTATAGTATAAATTTAATTCTTGGAAGAGCTGTGAACCTTTGCCCGCTGACAGGCCAAGGCAATGGATCGATCTTAAGGGCTCAACCCATATCTGACATGACGTAGTGCACATGGGTCCACACTGTCGTTATTAATACCAGGAAAGACCATCCCAAACTCCGACGCAGCGACAAGCCCTATCTATTTGAAGAAAAAGAGTTGATAACCGTTCGCGCTGTCCTCTACGAACCTGGGGTTGAAATATTTTCCCAGAGCCAAGTTCGGTCAAATTTTGCAATGTCGAAGAAGTTGGTCCACGAGACAATGATTGATTGATTGATTTAAATTTAAGTCTCTACTGAGTCCTAGACTATAAAAGACTACTTAAAGATCTACCTAAATAGCTCTTCAATTAATAGGTTAATTTTTAATTTGAATATTATAATTACATGCCAGTTGATCTTGAGGGTCATGCCCTAAACGAGAAAATGTTTCAAAATACTCCACCACGTCAAATTCCCACCATCAATGAAATCGGCTCTTACCTAAGTCTTATCAAGCTTACAGGTTCGACTTAGTACATCCTCTTAATGGCCACACCTTTCTTCGATCCTCTCTGGCCGTATTTGACCACCAAGTACACGTCCACGCCAATATTAACACCCGAGGGAGGAAACAAAGCGTGGCGCAAAAATCCGAGAGATAATTCTTTGGGGTAGACGTAAGGGAAATCAGGACAAGTTAACAATACGATGCAGACGGTGAATACTACGTCTACGAGTGTCCAAATTTGAACTTTGGCAAGATGTTTTACAAATTGAGTTTTATGCGTGCCTAGACTTCGATACGAGAGTGTAACTGAAAGTATAGATACAAGCCCGTGATGGAAGTTGTTGTGGTCCGCCTTCTGGTAATGTTCTCTGGTGTAGTCTGAATAGCCTGGGCACCTACTCCACTTGGGAAGGAGACATCTTAGACCACATTTCGCGCGGAGAAAATGCAGTGGATGATGGAGGCATTTCTGGATAACTCTGGAGTTTTGAGGCGTTCCCCTAGATGGGTATTCACGGCTGAGGTTTGACTTGGGGTGAAGAAGAAGCCGCCATAACTTCGCAGTAGTACTTGCAAATGAAATCCGAAGAATGAGTGCTCTACATTCAAGCTGAGTCATCTAATATGTACTTTTTCTCTGATACTGTGTCATAGCTTGATTGCTGCATACGTGTTGTGATATACAATCCCTATGGGTGTGTATGGGCTATGAGGTGTCGCAAGAACCAAGTTGAGTGGCTAGCTAGGCACAGTGAAGGATTAGCAGAAGCATAAGTGTAGGGTTTAATGAACACTTCTCTTGTAGACATAGGATACATAACGACCGTCTTTTCCATACAGATCATACATAGGATTAGTCTTCACTTCTTCCTACCTCTTCTGTCCCGTATATTATCAAGGTAGAAACTCAAGGATGTCACACATAACCTCATAACCACAATAATACGCAATTAAAATCCAATATCAAAAGAGAAAAATAAAGTAGGTTCTCTTTTGTGACCACACCTCTTAACCCAGTGGCGTTTCATTACTGTGTGATACCATCGTATTCTAATTATTTAGAGGGCTAGAATCCTCAAATTGATTGCCCCAATCATTTCATTTAATTTGTGATTATTTGCGTCATTACTTCCCATGATTTTTGTCCTTGGCTAAATTCATATGACCTCCATTTGATAGTCCCGCCTTGCTATGCTGAGCGCATCTAGTTGGAACGTGCTTAAAGCCGAATTATTTTTAGCTACTGAGTGCATGAAGGTTTCAGTATCATTAGTCCTCATTATCTTGAACCTCTCTTAACAGTTGCTTTGGCTGCAACTTATCTACACAGCCCACCCATGTTCTACTTACCGCCTTAGGCGTTGTTGGCGTCACAACAGAGGTGTGTAATCACCAACTTATAGGGCCAAGTGTTGTTACTGAAGCCAGTATTCTCAATAAAAACTAGAATAAAATTGTGTTATTTATATTGTGAGATATAACCAGTAAATTAATGAACTGGTTAGATCCTAAAGTAGTCTCTAGTTGTCTGGGACTCAATATATGATTTTAATTCAAATAATTAAATTGATTCATGAAGCCGACTTGCGAATGGTCCCCTGGAGACTCCTTTGAACCATCCCTTCTTCACACTTTGAATTTTAAAAAAAACATCACTCGTAAGGCCATCATCCTTAACTCGATGGACTTAGCTTTCAAAGGTTCCTGAACGGCTCCCTTTGTTCCTTGTGCGCATTCAAGCCGCTCTCCACTTCTTTCATTGATGGTGATCCCTCTTGAGCACTGGCTATCCTGAAAGTGACCATCGCTACTGACAATAAGTTCCCGTTTATTTCTGTGTTTTACCAGTCTTAAACCGTCAAAGGTTCATCGTCTCCTTGTGAAAAATCTGCTGCCGCACCCTTTCCCGCAACTTTGGCCGTTGTCGTTGTTGCTGACAGCGAGGCTTGATTGATTAATCTGATGTTTATATTGTACTACTTGAGTCTACGGTTATTTAGCAAATTGGGCACCTCTCTGACCCAAGCTTAACCTCGCATAGTGCTTCTGTCTTTTTTTGTTACTTTGAAACTCATTGATATATTGCCCTTTTTAAATAGCTATTCAGCTCAGTGTTTACACGTGGAATTCAGCCACCTTTTCAACAGATCCTTCTACCCAAAAAAATAAAAATGGTAGCAATGGATACTGCGTGCGCGGAAAATAAGTCTCTAAGACTTGCAGCCCCAGCCGGGCGAGGCCTAGACACCGGGACCACATGGGGTGCGCATATTCATCCATATCTCCTTTCTTTGTAACATTCGAGGCTGACTTGATCCAACCCACCATCTTCGTATCGGGTGCTGGGTACGCTCCGGAAACTCATCGCATAGCGACTCCTTCACGACCAAGGGTCAGTGATGAGAAGGGTTCTAACCCTACCATCTGATCTGATCGTGGTTAGCTTCATGATAATGGTGATAGGGGAATTTGTTGAGAGATGAAAACGATACAGATCGCGCAAGCGATTGGGAATCCTCGTCGAAGTGAGGATTTCATTACTCAATCTCGGCGCTGTAGACTCTTCAGTGAGAGCCGGAGGTCCGTAGGGGACACCACTGACAAGTCTTTAAAATAGTCACCCGATAGCGAGGCTTCTGACCCCTATAAACCCCGCAAACCAGCGTCTACGTCCATTTTGCCACATCGCAACAGTTTAAAGTAGAGATTTTTTTTGCATCAGATTTTAATTGCGTATGCAGCTATAACTCAATATCAAAGAAAGGTAAAGAAAAGATGACCCAATTTACAAAAACAACATTCATGCCTCGGAATTCATTTGCAAGTACCACTACTAAGTTATGGTGGCTTTTTCTTCACCCCAAGTCAACTCTCAGCCGTAAATACCAATCAGGAGGACGTCTAAAAACCCTGGGTTATTCAGACATGCCTCCATCATCTACTGAATTGTCTCCGCGCGAAATGTGGTCTAAGGCGTCTCCTTCCCAAGTGGAGTAGGTGTCCAGGCTAGTCAAACTTCACCAGAGAATACCAATAGAAGGCGGACAACGGCACCTTCCATCGTTTGCTTGTGTTTAAAGTGTCAGATTTACAATCGCAAGGGAATTCTTGGCGCACATAAAGCTCAATTCGTGAATCTCCTTGCCAAGATTCAAAATCTCACGCCCATCGAGATTGTATTCATCTCCTGCATCATCTTATGAACTTGTCCTGATCCCTCTCACGTCCACCCCAATTAGCTGTCTCCCAGATTTGTGCGCCACGCTTTGCTTCCTCCGTCGGGTGTAAATATCGGCGTGGGCGTGTATTTGGTGGTCAACTAAGGCAAGAGAAGGTCGAAGAGAGGTGTGGTCATTGGGATGAGAATGTACTTGGTCGTACTTGTAGACTTGAGACTCAGGTAGGAATCAAACTTGTTGGGAGCGAAAAAACGACGTGGCGGAGTAGTTTGAATCATTGCCTCGTGAGCAAACTTCTTCGGTGTTGCGAAATTTGATCGGACTTGGCACTAAGAGAATATTTCAACCCCAGGTTCGTAGAAAACACCGCGTCAGGTGTTCAGTCTTGCCCTCCTGAAGTAAAAATTGTGGCTAATTGATGTGAAGAATTTCAAATTGACGAATATGGATATTTAAACACGTTTGTGCATCCCATCGCTTACTCTCGGCGGGTGCGCGGTTCAGGGATTTATCTGATGCACACAATCGAGTTAGGCTACTATAGGTTTAGCCCCATCAAAGCCCCGGGTGCAGCCAAGCTTGAATTTTCACTTCTTCGCTGTCGCACAATATCAAATAAATCAATCGGCATTGCGAACCGACCAGGCAAGGCCGATAACTATCAAATTTTATTGAAATAATTCATCATGTCGAACATCGATTACGTGCTTCATGAGAGCGCAGTTGGATATGCAATGTTCCGAGTTATATATCAACCTGATACAGTGGGAAATCGATTAAAGGAGGTTCAAGATGCCAGCTTAGATCTTTCTAAATTTGGAAAAATGGTTAAATTGATAAACTTTGCGCCTTATAGGTATAAACGCAAGGCATCCATAAATATATGACATTACTGACTTAACCGCAGAGGAGCTGCGGAAGCTCTGGAAAATGTGAACTTAGTTTCTGAAGGAGTGCTATCTGACTATCTTCGATCAAACCTCGAACTTAATCTCCCAAAACCTTCAAAGAAACAAAAGGTTGTCCTAGGTGTATCAGATAAAAACTTGGCTGGTAGCATCAAGGCGACCTTTCCAGGTGTCGAATGCGAGACCTCAGAAACATCAGAAGTTGCTGCTGACCTTCTTCGTGGCCTACGGCTTCACATCGGCAAGCTCTTGAAGGGCCTTGAGGATGGTGATGTCGATAGAGCTCAACTTGGCCTGGGACATGCCTACTCCCGCGCTAAAGTTAAGTTTTCGGTTCAGAAAAATGATAATCATATCATCCAAGCCATCGCTACAATAGATCACCTCGACAAGGCTATCAACACTTTTTCCATGCGAGTTCGTGAATGGTATGGCTGGCATTTCCCCGAACTTATAAGGATAGTCTCCGATAACCATACATACGCTAGACTAGCACTCGCTATTGGTGATAAGAAAGCTCTTTCAGACTCTTCTCTACATGAAATTGCTATGATAGTCAACGATGATGCAGAAATCTCGCAGGCAATAATTAACGCAGCTCGCGTAAGTATGGGACAGGATCTTTCAGTATTGGATCTAGAGAATATCTCAGCTTTCGCAAACCGTGTGGTTAAGCTTGCTGATTATCGCAAATCTCTATTCCAATATCTCGTCAATAAGATGGCGGTCGTAGCCCCAAACTTGGCTTCACTCATTGGTGAAGTAGTTGCTGCCCGATTGATCTCTCACGCTGGATCTCTCACGAATCTCTCCAAATATCCCGCATCAACAGTTCAAATACTAGGGGCTGAAAAAGCCTTATTTAGAGCACTTAAAACGAAGGGTAACACGCCAAAATATGGACTAATCTACCATTCCAGCTTCATTGGTCGCGCTGGTGCGAAGAATAAGGGCCGTATTTCTCGATTTTTAGCGAACAAGTGCAGTATAGCCAGTCGAATCGATAATTTTTCAGAGGAACCAACAACTAAATTTGGACTGGCGCTTAGACAACAAGTTGAGGAGAGGCTTGAATTTTACGCTACAGGTGCGGCACCCACGAAGAACGAAGACGCGATGGTAAGACTCTAGCCCCAGAGAAAGTACAACATAAACACTACTAATTAAAACTGGTAGAAATCCGCGATGGATGCTGTATTAGATGATATTAAAGTTGATAACATAGGTATAGATGTTGAAATGGAGGATATAATGCCTAAATCCTCAAAAAAAGAAAATAAAACAAAAGACAAAAGCAAGAGTGACAAGAAATCCAAGAAGCGAAGGATGAGCGAAGCAGCTGGCGATGATGAAGTTAGCAAAAAGAAGAAGAAGAAAAGCAAGCGCGAATCGTTATGAGTGATCAAGCAATGATTATCTTCAATCTTATTCTCGGTGTTAGTGTTTGTAACATTAAGTTGGCGTTGTGGTGTTCCAGCTATTTTCGAATCTCTAAGCGATAAGCCTAGAAATAGTTCCCAATCTAATCAAGAAAATATAAAATTGCCATGAGGAAGGTGACTCAAATATTTGAAACATGATAATTGTTGATTATCAGTATTTAGTGTTGAATTTATCTAATAGCTTCAATGATCTGCTGCTACTTTATTTTAAAGTCCTAGGGAGGGTAGGTAAAAGGGAATAATCATGGATACAGAGAAAATGGCGGACAATTAACTTTGCTCACCGAAATGACTATAGCCGTGAACTGAAGATGGCGAACAGATCAATACAGCAGTCCGTCAACAACCCTTACTCTTGCCTTGGTTATAAGTTCCTTTAACTATGACAATGTCTGAGAATCCTATCTATTGTAGGGCTAAAACTAAAAATGTGAAAATAAAAAAAACTGCCAAAAGTTGGGGGAACAACATCAAATCTGCGAACAGTAGGCAAAACGACTCTGGGTCAGGTTCGCGCCTGAAAAGTATCAGCTGATACATTTCTCCCGAGCTGGGAAACGACACAACCTCAAAGTGACGATTGAAATCCAATGCCATATTACAGTCCCACAGCCTTCCCTTCGATTTTCGGAATCTACTTTGATCCCAAGTTGAGCTTGGGAGCTCACATCAAGAGCCTTCAGATGAAGGCAGAGATGTAGATTCAGGGTCACAGCAGGTTAATACAATCAACGTTGGGAGAAACATTTTACAAGTCAAAGATATTATATAGCATGATTATCAGACCGCCGCTAACATACGGGTCACCTATCTGGGCCGAGGTCAGACGAGGTAGAAAACTACCAGAGACGATAGTTAGACCCCTCAGAATCATACACAGGAATTGCCTGAAAATTGATACCGGAGCATACAAGTTCACCAGCACGAGAGTGCTGGAACACGAAACGGCTACCCTACCCATTAAAATATTCTTGAAGCAATAAAGGCTTCAATATTTAGGTCGCTCAAAGGATTAACTTGTCTAGAAGGCAATCCAGTCCGCCTTAAATAAAATTAGACTGCTCAGAAAAGGGAGAGAAGATATACGAATAGTGAACAGGAGGATAGTTCTGGCCCACTGGACGGGAATGTACGGTGAACAACAAACCAAGAAGACATATACAGAGATAGTGAAAGTTATGGCATACCAAGAGTGGGCGAAATCCTGGGCCAAACAGAAACGAACTCGGAGGGCAAGACTGAACACCTGTACGCGGTGTCCTCTACGAACCGGGGAGTGAAATATTCTCCCAGAGCCAAGTTCAGTCAAAGTTCGCAATACCAAACAAGCTGGCCCACGAGGCAAGGATTCAAAATACTCCACCATATCAATTTTTCACCCCCAACGAGATCGAATCCCACCTAAGTCTCATCAAGTCTATAAGCACGACTTAAAACATCCTCATTCCAATGACCACACCTCTCGTCGACTTTCTCTGGCCTCAGCTGGCCGCCAAATATACGCCCACGCCGATATTTACACCCGACGGAGGAAGTAAAGCGTGGCGCACATATCTAGGAGACAGTTCTCTGGGATAGATGTGAGAGGGATCAGGAGAAGTTTATAAGATGACACGGAGGATGGATACAATCTCTACGAGCATATAATTTTGAATTTTGGCAAGGAATTTCACTAATTGAGCTTTGTGCGTGCCAAGACTTCGCTTGCGAGAGTGCAGGCGACACTATAAACATCGCCATGGTTGGATGGTGCGGTGGTACATCATCTTGGCCGGTCTGCTAAGTAGAGTCTGGATAGCTAGGACAAATATCCCACTCAAGTCAGTAGATTGCTGGTTCAAATCCGGCAAAATACAACCACATTTCCCGCGGCGCTGGTATGCTTAGATAATCAAAGGTTTTGAATTTCTCTTTGGTGGGTACCTATAGAGGAGGGTCGAGTGTTTGTGTAAGCAAACAAACCCCATAGTGGTATTTGCCAATGAAATCCAGAGTAGGAGTGTCTCTAACGTCAAAAGAGTTATCCACCATGTATACATTGCACCGGTCATGTGTGTTAGCTAAATAGCTGCATACACATTAAATGATAAAAAAAAGAACGAACGAATTCGGAAGCTAGCAACTGCAGATCCTGAAACTTGGAAAGCGGCCGAATTTCACCATAGTAGAAAACCTGAACGGCAAAAACTGAGTCTTCAAGGCTCACCATTCTTTCTACATTGTAACCTGACTAGGGCCTAAAGTAGGTTGGCAGTGCGAATTCGCAGTGAGCACATGAGGCTCAACTCGTATTTATGTAGAAGAAAAATAGCCGAAGTATTAAGTCAAGACTATTCATGTGGCTACCAATCACAGAACTTCAAGCATATGATAATGTCCTGCCTTTGACGGTCAAATGGTAGAGCAGAGATCTGAAGATAAGTCAAAGATCGGTCCTACGAAGCAATGAAAAGCAACCCTAGCGACATCAAAGGGATAACACAGTGGATCCTAAATCATGGTTGCATTGAGCTATTCCAGATGAAAAAGGCCGTCGAAATGCTGCTGAGGGAAAGGATCAGGTCAAGTAATGCTTGGGGCCGTTAGAGATGATGAGTCTGGTTTACATGCATGGCAGTATAGTGTAACTGTGCATACTCAAGAACATATGTGAAAACAAAAGACAACAGAAAGTTCAAGGGGTTCACCGTAAAGGTTTCCTCACGTGAAAATATTACAGTTCGTTAGCACCTTCATAGCCCCATAGGGCGCCAGATCAGGATAATGAAGCCAAATTCAAATATGTGCAAACATTTCATGTTTACTAAAGGAATATCCTCGCATTCCAGACGTATTTTAGCGATCGGAGGAACCCCTTCTATCGATTGGCTTCAATCCGTGCATGCGAAGGGTTAATGCAGCACACAACGAGAGGCTGCAAAGCGAAGGAAAAGGTTATTTTATTCTTGTCGGTGCTTTTCTAGAATACGGCAGGTGCGAAGTTTGCAACATCGCCAAGCCAGCAAGGGAATGATTCGGAGACGGAGTGCTGCGATGCCAGTATGCCATGGCAAAGGAATAGAATATGCAACACTTATTTTTCCGCACCAGCGCTTGACCCCCAGGACCAATTAGCATGAAATTGTAATGTGCACATGGGAGATTAAGCTGTAATTTAAGGGAACTGAGTGGATGAATGCTTCAGTAGTCTCCCACCGTCGAGGATTCAGTAGGGACTCCAATTTTAATGAAATATTTGTCTGCAAGAGTTCCAAGCAAAGCCTGTGCCCCTTGATTCACCCTCTCTATCCGCCACGACGGCGGCCATTCGTGGAAGTATTGTGATGTAGTTGTGCGCGCCCAGCACAAGTCATGCATTTCGACCAGACTCGCGTGGCCGAAGGCGCGAGAATCAATGCTACCAGTACGGTCAATGCGAGAGAGCCGGGAATAAACGGGGGGAGAAGCAAATTTTTGGGTCGGGAGCCCTGCGACTCGCCTGGACTGCGCGATTTTACCAGTGGGGAGATTAATCAAGTGACGGCAAGGCCTTGACTTGCGCCAGCCGTTGTGATTATGGCCAGACTGCCTTTTCCGCACCTCCATCGGGCGAAACCGACGTGATGCATCTTTAAAGTGTGATCAGCACTATTCGCAATCTCAGTCTCGACACTCGCCAACGATCTAAAATCGAAGAGTGCGTGAAAATATCTGTGCCATGATTCCCAATAGCGACCTCTCTACTCTTCTATTCCGCATCTAGACTGCCTGTTCTCCCTCAGGGCCAGAGTCGCATTGGAGAATATTCACCGGGTAAGCCAAGCCTCGCGCTCTCTATATCATGGCTTGGTTTCCTCTTGCATGCGTGAGAAGCGTCGTAATTTGATAATGGAAATTGTCCAGTCTATGATGAGGCAAGCTCCCGTTTGCAATTGGAAACTACTTGACAGGTCGCTGAGGCGAGATGCTTTGTGGTAAGGTCAAGTCGGAAGACTCACGCGAGTAGGATGGGGCCGAGCTTGATGGAATTCGTTGATTATGGATAATCTCGTAATTTTTTTGAGTTGGATGTGGATGCGATTGCTCTTGGTTACGCTTGATATACCGAGCATAATGCGCGACTACACTGGCTCCTCAAAAGATGAAGAATTCCTCTTTACCGGCTCATTCACAGATGTATTTCTGCCAAGACAGATGTCCTAGGCCCACGGGTGCAGGCTTAACCTACTTCAGACATGAGAAGAGGGTTCGAAGATAGAGCTGTAAATTCTAGAGCGCCTGTAGAAGCTATTACGCTAGATACAGCAGAATTTTGTAAGTCGCGGCGGCTCAAGCTTAAACCTTGCTCTTGAAGTTCACTGGGATAAACGGCAAAGCACGACGTGGAGACAGGAGCACGTCAAAAGAATTTCGATAGAGCACTATGATTGAGCTACTCCAGATTGAAGTAACGGAGCTCGAATAAGTGGAGAATATAGATTCGATTAGGCTAGACTTTCGATGACAATGATGGTGGAGATGGACAACCTTCTTCTGTCTCGGAGAGAGGGAGTGAGAGGTATGTATATTGTGCTGCTTGAGTCACAGACTATCTAGCAACTTGGGCTCCTCTCTGACCCAGGCCACACCTTGTACAGTGCTCCTATCCTCTTTTGTTACTTGAAAGATCATTAATATATTCCCCTTGATGAACAGCCATTCAGCTCAGTATTTACCCGTGGAATTCAGCCACCTTTTCCACGGAACCTTCTACCCAAAAAAAATAAAAATGGTAGCAATGGAAACTGCGTGCGCGGAAAAAAAGTCTCAAAAAACCTGCAGCCCCAGCCAGGCGAGGCCTAGACACCGGGACCAAATGAGGTGCGCAGATTCATCTATATCTCCCTTCTTTGTAACAGTCGAGGTCGCCTTGATCCAATCCGCCATCTCCGTATCGGGTGCTGGGTACGCTCGGGAAACTCATCGGGTGGCTTTTCCTCCATGATCTAGGGTTGGTGATGAGTAGGGCTCCGACCCTACCATCTGATCTGATCGTGGTTAGCTTCATGATAATGGTGATGGGGGAATGTGTTGAGAGATGAAGACGATACAGACCGCGAAAGCGATTGGGAATGCTCGTCGAAGTGAGGACTTTGTTACTCAATCTCGGCTCTGCAGACTCTACAGTGAGAGCTGGAGGTTCGTTGGGGACACCACTGACAGGTGTTGAGAAAAGCCACCCTTTTTGTCTCGGATTTTGATTGCGTATAAAGCTATCTAGCTATGACATAGTTTCAGAGAAAAAGTACAGAATGGATGGCTCATTGAAAAAATAGAGCACTTATGCTTCACCCAAAGTCAACCCTCGTCCGTAAATACTTGGGAAACGTATTATGACACATGGAAATCAAAATATGCTGATGAGTTCGAGTCCAAAAATAAGTTTGACTTTCTTCTTTTTACCTAGTCTCCAAGGCTAGTTCAATATATAGTATATCGTCCGAAATGACTGACTTTATGTAAGCCAAAATTTCTTGATTCGAAAGCCATGTAAGTTATTCCGGGTTAATTTACATAGTCATATTGTTGCAGGCAAACGATATTACATTGGTGATATAAATAGCTTTGAAAGATAAGCTATTGTCTGTAAAAAAGTTGATAGAATACAAAACTTGAAAACTGTTGAGTCTATAACTTTATTATGGGGAGACTACCCATTCGCGCACCACGCAAGAAAAGCTACTAGTAGTTTACTTGAATCTTTTGGAAGTTCAATGAATGGTTTTAACGTCTAATTTATCTAGAATATTCATTGAAGATTTTGCGAGGTATTGTAAGTTAGAAGAGAAGATATCAATTATTCTTTTAGGTTTAATATATAAATTAAAGTGTATTCGAAATCAATCCAGTGTTAAAGTTCTCCGAGGTGGTTGTTCGAAAATTTGAAAAAGAAGTGTTTCTAATGATTTTATTTCCTTGAAAGTGAGAATTCAAAATAAAGTCACTTCCTAGATTTTAGATATTAGGTAAACAGTTAGATTTGACTAACTTTGTTGAATATTTAGATAGTAGCCAATGTTAGAGAATTTAGAGTATACGATTCTTGGTTTATCAAGAATTTCCGCAAACTTTACTTACTAGGTTGCTGCGCTATATCGGAAAAATCTTGTTCCGTGTAGTGATTAAAGCTTTGAGCGATAGAAGATCAATAACTTATTGCAGGTGGAGCGAGTCGTAGTCAAACTCAGCAGGTCAACAAGCTAAATGAAACAGTCTCGCATTCATTTAATTTCTTAGAAACTGATCATCAAAACTGGGTAAGTTTGTTTGTTTATTCATTAATTTGCTAGGTAAAGTGACACCCGTCGCACTCCTACTGGAGCTTAAGCACGAGCGGGACCGAGCTGGATCAGGTTAACTACCGTGAAGCACAATAAAGCTGGGGAAGTGTGACAGTTTATGTGAGTTTATGTATATGTTTTGACGGTTAAAAGTCCTATTATTTTCTAGCATGCAATCATTAAATACTCGTGCTATCAGCCTATTCTTAAAATAAGATTAAAGACTGATTTTGCTCATCCTTCAAGTGGCGTAAGTTCGTTTGAAATCTATCCTTGCTATGATTCCCACATCACATCTGAGATATCCATATTTAGTAACTTCGAAATCCGTACTACTTCCAGAAAAAATTTGAAGCCTATGTATCTAAGAGAATAAGCCTCCATAATTACTCAGACGGAAAATTGTCGTTACCTTCCAGAGGTTAAATCTGATCCAATTTAATAAACGCCGAAAATAACTCGACGACATGCATAAACTCTACAGTTAGTAGGGGGAGTTAACAACGTCATCTTTCCCTAGCTTGTATCGGGAACTCTCTCGTGTGCCTAATCTTCCCGCGTCGCTCCTACTACTAAATCTACTGCTTGTGACCTGAGAAGGTATGCCGATACTTTCTCTTGTTGGTTTTTTCATAGCAGCCTTGGCAACCATATTGACTTCATTCGGCAGAGTGACTATTACATTGCGGTCACTTCCATATCTGAAATTATCGGCTTTGACTTCTTCTGCGTAACGTTTAATCGAATAGGGCTCTTTTATACCAAGCAATACTTTCTTCATGCTCCAGGTGACAACAAATGGACCTGTTGCACTGATAATTGAGGTTTCCTCAAGCCCTTCTCCAGCATTAAATCGGGCAGTTGTAAATGACAGCGGAGATCCAGTCTCATGTTGAAATTGTGCGACGTGTGCTGGAGTCAACCCTAGTCGGCGCGGTTGTGGCTTGTTGCCCTTGCTGAAAGATTTTTCGAACCCAAGTCTTCCCTCATTTGGACCTTGTTTTTGCAAAGTATCAATTAGAAGTAAATATGTCCGACAAGTGGCAAGTATCCATCGTCCATCAGCACTAACATCAAGGCCAATTATGGGCTCACCAAGAGCTGGGATATGTGTCTTTGCGTTAATCCCTAGACGATCAAACATTCGAATGTCTCCTTTGTTGCTAGCAACTGCGATAAAGCCCTTTTCTGTAGTCGCTGCGGCCGAGAAATCGTTTTTTGATACATACTGTTTGAGCTCTGAATCGACCAATTTATTGCCTGCTAGACGAGGATCAATTCTAAATAAAGCATTTCGAGATAAGCCAATGAAGGTTTTCTCGCCTGTCATTTGTGAAAATTTCTTCTCGGGAGCGAATGTCTCAACTTTAATGTCAGGATGGATCTTCCATTCTTCGACAACCTTACCATACTCAAGGTCCATACGATACAAAGAATTTGGATCTGAGTCGTTTTGAAGGATCAAATTGCTATCCTCTTCATGAAGCATGACTTTTTTTGGACTGAAAAGCTTTCCGTTGGGCGTTTCAACTCTAGCGATATTTGTAGAAAACTCTAGATGATTGTTTGGGGTATGTTTGAATACTCCAATTTTTGAGCCACGAACCACGAACGAGCGATCGTTCTTATATCCCACAGCTAGCAAAGAATTCACGTTTCCATCATTTTGTTTGTTTTCAATGTCATCTTCGTCTTCATCGGTGTCGTAGTGTTCGCTCTGTTGAGAAGAATCGTCGCCATCTTCATCAACATCGCTTTCTATTTCTTCGCCTTCGTCGAATTTCTCGATTTCTGCTTCTTCGTCTTCTTCCTCAATCTCCTCGTTTAAGGACATATCTCGAAATGCTCCAAGTACGTAATCACGATCATTTTCATTACTACCCTTCCATCGCAATTGGTTCAGCTGTTCCCATAGTGCCTGCATCAAACCTTGTTGGAACTTAGTCAAGGTCTCTTCGTCTTGAAAACGAAGAAGCCATGAGTAAGCGTCGCCATTTTCAGAGTAGGCATTGAATATAAAAGACAGGTATTCAAAATTAAAGACAGGATTTATATCAGCGATAATTTCTTGTCCAACCCAGTCGTGATCCTCGGTTGAAATTTCAAGCCAATATTCCCAGTTACCAACCTCAGATACAATAGCGTCAACATTAGTTTGCTGCAAGATAAAGGATCCAGAATGAAAGTCAAATAGATGTAACTCAGCGGATTCCCGGCATAAAATATTTTTAGCTTTTGGATGATTATTCGCCTTTGGAGCCTCCATTACGTCAGATTGGTTCATTGTTAGTTGTGCAGTTTTGTTGTTCTTCGGGGATTCAACTTGTTCAGGAACTTCAGTAAAGCTCGAGTCTACAAATCTTCTACCTGTCACAGGAGAGTTCGCAGCAGATAACACTTTGGGTGTCTGAGTCGGGCTTGCACTTGGTATGGTGAGATCGGTGTCAAAGCAAAACTGTGCTAAATCTTTCTTAGATGCCGTGGAGTAGTTTTTCCTGTAGGTTATTTCGTATTGACAGCGTTGAGCAGCGCTTTCAAATTGAATAACCTCAGATGCATCAACTGAGCTATCGCACACAAATTGGTAAATATCCCCGTTATCTCCTCTTAGATCTCTCCACGCGAGGACCTTTTCTCCGCTTGGTCGAACTTGTGATCTAAAGCGCAAGCTTTTGTCTAAGAAGAACGCTTTCTCGTCGTGTTCGGCAGAATGAGCAGCAATATCTATATCTGGGCTGTCCCCGTCTTCTCCAAGATCTGCTTCTCCCTCTTCGTAGACACGTTGAATTACAAGCTGATACTGATATTCTTGATTTGTTCGTTGGATACGAGCAGCAGCGTCCTTAAAGATTAATTCAGAGTAACTTTTTGGTGAGCTTGGTCGAACGAGATAGAGTTGTCCTTGTGAAATTTCAATAATAGATTCTTTGGAAGTGCCACCAAAAATTAGCTTGCCCACTAAACAAATGTTAGTGATGAGGAGGGAAAATGGATCACGTTAGAGTGTTTGGTTTCTCAATGTGTACGAATCAAATAAGAAATCGACCCTGACGTCGAAAACAAGAAGTTGAGGGATATTACCGTTTCGAAGAACGAACATTTTAAGATATAGGTTTTCAGCAGAGATAAGATTACACTGATACCGGACGATAAGGCTGAAGGCGATTTCGCTGTTGGGATGTCATGGAGTGGAACCGTAGATCGTTCTAGAAATATGCCCCTTTACCCTGTGCCTCTGTGTTGACAATATTCATCAACTGGATGATGAGATAATACTCTGACGGACAACAGCTAGATTTGAAAAGAGCTCGACTCAAACCCGAAATGATAGCTATTTAATGCAAAGTTCCCTGGTGGCGCCACTTATCGAACGAGACTCTAATGACGAGGGGTGTGGTTTGCTTTGAGATGTTTGGAGAGTAAAATTAGTTGATGGCAAATCTGATTGACCAACAAGTGTTCCCCGAGACTGGTACAATAATATCAAGATAGTTAGACCTCGTGTACAACCAAAATCAATTAATTTGTTTCGGAAGATTTTAGTGGTTCACTAAATAAATCATGCCTCAACTATGATCAGTAGCAGCTAGGAGTAAGTGGTCGGTTGCACAGTGATACTCTTTATCGGAGCCTCAATTAAGGCGCAAAAGTTTGCTGGTTTGATTCCCGCTCGACCCCATCATAATTCTCGTAAGCTAACTGAAAATCATTCAGGCATCTGGTTTAGTGAAAGGCAGTTGAGCATACTTCCAGTAGCCTAACACGGATCAGGGCCACATTACATGTATACGAAGACATACTAATTGTCATGATTAAACAGCTCATGACAGCTGGAAAAGAAAAGACTTACTACAAAGTGGCGCACATGACTAAGCCACGGAGCATAATTTTCTTTGATGCCTTGTGCTTTATTTTATTTTTATTTTTTTGCAGCCTTGTGTTTTCATTCGCCATCACATACTTGATACACCGATAGAATCTCGTAGCTCTGATACTAATGATAAATCAGGTGGCGTTTAAGATAGAAGGAACAGTGTCACTTCATGCACTAAGGGTATCCCAGGTCCACCCTCAAGTACATTTGCAATACTTGAACCCATCTTGAGTTTAGGGGCTAAGAGGGATGTGGCAACTGGATGGCTCTGCTGTCCTTCGGCCTAATTGCACCGGCACACACACAGTGGCGGCTCGTGAAGGTGGCGCGCAAACGCTGGATCAACGGCACGATGGATACCGGGTGCGTATCACTGTGACCGATGAGTTTCAGTAGGTAGTAAACTTATATTGTTACAAGCGATGGCGATCCATGAGGGAGACACATGATGCGCACTCCAACAATTAATCATATCCTCCAGTGTAGTTTATTGAGCCACTTGAGTCTATGAACAGCTTCAGTGCACCAGCCTATCTTGTCCCTAACTCTGAATAAATCTACAGAGCCGACACAGCAACCTTATCAAATTATCATCTACTGCCCCATGGTGAGGTAGGAGCCGTAACATATTTTCCGGATATTTTCTGGTTATCGTAGATGGCCTTACATAAGTTGATTGAATTCATTACTGTCCTCAGTTTGAGGCTACTCGAGAACTTTGAAGCTATTTCACGCTTGTGATTTCATTTACTTGTTAACCGTGTTTTCATTGCACCTTGAGGATCTTGTCCCTGTCTATGTATCTGAAAATTTGAAGGCATTCAAATACCTACTGAAATATCAGAGAAGCATATCTTCGATTGAGATACCTCAATGACTAAGTCGTGCCTTTCCATTATTGATTCGTAACTACTTCTATGGATTAAGTTGACTCCTCTATTAATAAATCTAAGCTCGAGAGAAGATATGAGTAGAAACTACTTTCCCCTTTAGCGCTGGTGGTCAGAGGGTTGGAAGAGACGGTCCCAATGGTCTTGCTTCTGTAGAAATGACTTTTGTTACCGCTGAAGCCAAATCGTAGTTTTGTTGAACAACCAACTTATGTCTTAATCAGTCAGTCTCTTTACTAGTAACCAAAGTAAGTCCCTGTCTATTGGTGATTCTAACTGCTCATGTTGCCGAAATTGCGGGGGTTTTCTCCAGCATATCTACAGTCAAACTCAAGGGTGCCAAAGGGGGCGTTGGATGGTTATTTGAATGTGCGTGTGACGGCTGGTAAACCAATAGGTGACCTGCAGCCTGTACTATTCAGCACAGGATATTTATAATGCGAGCGCAAAGACCCACTGCTAATCAAAGTCTAGCTTTTTTTTTTTTGCATCAGATTTTAATTGCGTATGCAGCTATCTAGCTATGACATAATATCAGAGAAAAGTACAGAAAAGATGACTCAATTTACAAGAGGAGCACTCATGCCTCAGATTTCATTTGCAAGTACCACTGCGAAGTTATGGTGGCTTTTTCTTCACCCCAAGTCAACCCTCATCCGTGAATACCCACCCAGGGGAACGTCTCAAGAACCCTGAGTTATCCAGACATGCCTCCATCCACTGAATTGTCTCCGCGCGAAATGTGGTCCTAGGTGCCTCCTTCCCAAGTGGAGTAGATGTCCAGGCTACTCCGACTACACCAGAGAACACCGCCAGGAGGCGGACCACAACACCTTCCATCGTTTGCTTGTTTTTATAGTGTCAGCTGCACTCTCGCAAGCGAAGTCTTGGCGCGCACAAAGCTCAATTCTTATAAACTCCTAGCCAAAATTCAGAATATCACGCCCTTCGCGGTTGTATCCTTTCTTCACATCGTCTTGTCAACTTGTCCTGATTCCTCTTACGTCCATCCTAAAGAACAGTCTCCCAGATTTGTGCGCCACGCTTTGCTTCCTGCGTCTGGTGTAAATATCGGCGTGGGCGTATACTTGGCGGTCATCTGAGGCCAGAGAAGGTCGAAAAGTGGTGTGATCATGGGAATGAGGATGTACTTGGTCGTACTTGTAGGCTTGATAAGACTTAAGATAGGATCAAACTCGTTGAGAGTGAAAAAACGGCGTGGAGGAGTAATTTGGATTTTTTCCTCGTGGGCCAACTTCTATGATATTGCGAAATTAGACCGAACTGGGATCTGGTAGAATATTTCACTCTCCGCTTCGTAGAGGACACCGCGTACAGGTGTTCAGTCTTGCCCTCATACGATTTCGATTGCGAGAGTAAAGGTGACACTAAAAAACGCTATGGTTGAATAGTGCGGTGGTACATCATCTAGCCCTAACGTCCAAGTAAAATCTGCATATCTTTGACACATACCCTACAGACAATAACCTGTAAGCCAATCTATTAATACCTGACACGCTCTTTGAGTAGGCAATTGGTATAATTGACGGATAACTTTTTCTATAAACGTAGCCACATATCCTCTGTGTCTTTCGAAAAATCAAAAGTATCAGCGGAAGAGCACTTTTGACGCCCTTTGGTAATTTAGCGCGCACGGCAGAGTGGCCTTGGCCCAAGAATTACATTTCAGGCTTGGGAAAAATTTCTGGCACGTCGGGTAGTTTATATAGACTGACGTGACCAATACAAGACATTAAGGTTGTTTTTTTTAATTAATTTTAGGTCCTAAGCTATGCTCTATATCTCCTAGGAGTCAAGGACCGGTGCACACGGCCAGGATCATGCTTCCCACTTGCCTGACTCGGTCTCACGGCGTGACCCACCACGCAACAAGTAGCTAGTTACAAGTAAGAAAATAAAACCCCAAATAAACTCTCACAACCAAAATTCCAAATCCCATACTCCTATTTGTGGTTGGAAAATGACACCTCTCGTCTCATTTTCCTACCTGTCATGCTTCGTGCTTATGATCTAGTTACTGCCATCTCCTCTGAGAGCTGGAGACGGATCCGTAGGTGGGTCCCCGAAGCAGCCGGTTTCCTGCGCAAAATTTGTAAAGTTCTCGAGGCACTTAGGCCCGAGAAGCTTGTGGATAAAATCGTGGTGTGACATTGTCCCTCGAAGTCGACGCGTCTGGCGTGAGTGCAGTCGACAGTGAATGAAGTGGAGAGGTGATGTTTCCACTCCACATGCACACTCCATTGAAGCGGCGAAGTTGTTGAAGCGACGGTGACATGCCGCGAAGTTTCCGTGGCCCGTACGGGCTGAGATCAGTTCACGGAGTAGCCGCCGGGAAAGTGTCTGCTCGCGTGGCTTGCGTCGTCGCATGAGAAGACCCAGATTTCGATACCTAGGTGGACATACTTCTTCCCACCAGTCGTCGAGAAGCGTTTGACGTTTCCGGTTCATGAGCCGACGAACGTACGCCAACGTGACAGAGCCAGGCTGGCACTCTTTACTTGGCAGTTGTCGGAGGCCGGAGCATGCAGCTCTATCGGCCTCTTCGTTTCCCTGTATCCCGGAGTGGGCTGGTATCTACTGAACCGAGACTCGAGCCTTTTTTAATAACGCTCTAAATTGTCGCACGTCGTCGAGACTTGTTGTGGCAGTTCCCGTCAGCAGTGCCTTTACTGCAGACTGACTATCCGACAAAACGTTGATCCGCCGCCTGCTGTCAATTCCACTGTTCTCTCTCTCCAACAATCCCAGCGCAGCTTTCAGGGCCTTCGTTGCACTAGTATTTCCGCATCAAGCACTTCACCACCATGCTTGATGCCATATCTCTTCAACAGAGTTTTTCCATCCCTCTTCAAGACGAAACCCCATGCTGAGCGACCATTCCCCTCCAACGATCCATCCAGGTAGGCGCAAATATCTGATGCCTGCACACTATCAATGAACCGAGTTGCCTTTTCTTCCTCCTCTATCCTTGAGTTGAAACTCGAAAGATAGCTTGGGGGCGGCAAAGGCTCAGCATCTTCTGCATCCAGGAGTTCTTGGTAAGCACGCTGTACTCGTGGCATGTGGATCTCTGGATTCTTGGGCGCCTGAGAACATTTCTTGTACTTCCGTGTTCCACCTTTCGGACACATGGCGGCGCGAGTCCGGAGCGGATGGCGGTTGTCTAGTGAGTGGAGCCGAGCCAAAAGCCGTAGTCGATTCCTTTCCAGAATGATCTTTCCAGTTGGGATACCTCCTTCGCGGTGGAGGACTGGATTCGGTGTCGTTCTCATTACCGAGAGGGCAGCACGCAGTCCCGTTAGGATTGCCTTATCG